CAACCTAAGACAATACTATCTGTAAGAAGTGAGTAGGCCACGAGCCAGTCCCAAAAGCCTAAGGGCCAGAATATTGAGCTAATATGACCTCGGCACCACAGGACCAGGTCGCCTCTATGGCATGGGCAAACCCCTAGAGTGGGCCACGAGCCACTCCTCCAGCCTAAGGGCTGAAATGCCGAGCTAATGAAGAAGCCTTGACAGCGTACAAAACTAAGTTGCCCTGTCAGCATGAACTAAGTACTTGCAGCGCCTGAGGCACAGGCGTCTTAGGCACGAACCTTACAACAAATAGCCCGCCCTGGCATGCGAAGAGTTGAACCCGTAAGGACAACTGATGGCAAACTACCTCGGGTGCAGACAGGTCGGGCATGCGCCCTACTATGTCCCTCACCCCGGCATACACAAGGCTACCCCTACTAAACAGTTCGGGGCCACAATGGCCGTTAAGGAACACCCGCTTCGGAAGTTCAATACGATAGGTTAACAGCTTGGGGTGAATGACCACTTCGACAAAATAAAATGCACAAACTTTTGGCAAAAAGAAAGAAAAAATCTCTTCATTACAGGAAGTTCAGTACATAAATTCCGTTGAGAATGTCTTAACTACAAGAAAGAAAAGGGGAGAAGATTCAGTTTACAAATACAAAGAGCAAACTACTTCGGGAGCTCGCCGCCTCTGTCAGGGACCTCCTCGGGGGCAGTAGCTGGACCAGCATCCTCTGCCTCATCTTCGGCGCCCTCATCTTCGGAATCGGGATCATCTTTTGAATGACGCACGATGATGTCAATGATCCGCGAAGTAGTGATGTCGCTCGTATACAGGTCGGGGTAGAGGTGCCTGATTAGCCACTGACCGAGCTTGAAGCCCTTACGGTAGGCCTCCGTCATCACGTCGTCAAACCTTGAAGAATAGACGTAGTCGATGACGGCTTGAGTCTTGGCCTCCTTGAGAGCACCCTCGAAGATCGCGGTCTTCTCTCTTATATCTTCCCGGAGGTACCCCACTTCGTGCTCCAGCTTCCCCTTTGCCTCCTTGAGGCCTTGCACCTCGAGCTTCAGGGCATCCCGCTCAGCCTTGAGGCTATTCACCTCGAGCCCTAAGGCCTCTTGACTGACCTTGAGCCCGTTTACCTCGGCCCTCAGCTTATCTTTGTCTCGGGCCAACTCCCCCTTCTCTGCCATTAACACCTCGATGAAGCACTTCTGAGCTGAGGCGTTACTCTCCAGGCGGTGGACCTGGCAGCGAGCTGCCCTCAACTCTGTATGGGCAGCGCGAGATGACTCTTCAGCCTCTAGAGCCCGCCTCAGGTGCCGATCTGATTGAAGGGTCAGGGCGCGAATGGCGGTGTTCACCTACAGAAGGGAAACTGGTCAAGAGGGAAACCTAAAAAAAAAAAAGAAGAGAGAGAGAGAAAAAAAGAGAAGGGGGACTCATCACCATAGTATGAGACGACCTGACCAAGAGTGAGTTCAACCCACTCGCTGACCTCCCCCGGGTATGCAGCTAGCTTGCTCTTCTCCAGGCTGCACTAGGGGTTCAGGACGGTTTGGCTCCTCTGACCTTCCGAGCTGGATGCCGTCATCTCCACATCACGAGTGGAACTCTCAGAGGCCTCGGCGGCAGCTTCGGCATGATGAGCCCCGGTAGCAGCACCTGCAGCGTTAGCCTCGGCAACTCTTTCGCCAGCAGGTCCGGCGGGTTTGGCAATAGGTTCGGTGGGCCTAACGACAGGCTCCACTATCACCTCGGGCCCCCAAGGCACAATCCCTTCTTCCAAGTCGGTGATAGGCTCTGCTACCACCTCGGGCCCCGAGGCTGAAGTCTGCGGAGGTTGGGGCTCGGCTGAAGTCTGCGGAGGTTTTCCTTCTTGGCTACACGTTTCTTTCTCTTCATCCGGCGGAAGAGCTTCTGGTTATCTATTTTCTCCGCCTCCATGGGACCTGCAACAAAACACGACATCAGCAACCCGAAGTAAACATATGAACAGAAAGTCGAAATGAAGGAAAACCTACCCGGGCTCAAGTTGGCCTGGATGAGCTTCTCCTCGGATGTGAAGTCTTTATAATTCAACCCGAGCTGAGCTAGTGACTGGAGCGCCTTCTTGGTCTTCCCGTCTAGGATGACACCGGGGTCTTGAATGGCCATCCTCCAATCAGTGGGGAAGGGCCACCCCGTGCTGCTCCGAACTACGAAGTAGTTCCACTTCCAAGCTGGGACTTTACTCGGGAGCTTGTGCATGAGTTTGAAACCCGGGTGGGGGGACAGGTAGTAGGACCGCCTATGCCTGGGGAGAGTGCCCAAAGCACTCTTCTTTATGGCCAAAATTGTGCTAAGAATATCTAAATCTATGGAGAGAGAGCGGTCAAAGCAAAGAGAAATGGACCCCACCACATTCCGTATGGAGTTTGGGTGGAGTTTGTCCAAGGTGATGTTAAAGTGTACCAACACCTCAATGATCAAAGGGTGAAGAGGAAGTCGAAGCCCGGCTACCAGTTGCTCCCTAAATATCACGATCTCGTTAGGACCGTGCTCCCATGGAAAGTTGCCGGTGGGAAGGCTATATGTGTATTCCTTAGGAAGGTTGAACCTCTGTATGAGGTCCTGAAGCCTCTCCAAAGTCATTATAGAAGGGCCGAACTGATCTGGCTCCCGACCTCGGTGGGAGGTGGACGCCAGATGACCTGAAGCCACCCATACTTCGGATGGCTGAGCGGCAGAGGAGCCACCCCGAGCCGAGGTAGGTGGGTAGATGACATAGTGAATTGAAGGGAAGAAACAAATTAAAAGGGGAAAGGAAGCTCGGGAGGACTCACCAAGGGAACGCAACCGGATTGGGAGAACAAGACGAACTGGAAGACCCAAGCTAAGAAACCTCTAACGCGAGCTCAAATGCTAACAACGAGAGCTTTGCGGCGAAGAAAATGGTCAAGGGCCCCTCTATTTATAGCCACAGTCGCGGGTTCCTCGAGGCGAAAACGGTTTAGCGCGTTTTTGACAGCCGCGAAGTCCAAATCGCGTGAGGTCCGCACGTAATCCGGACGCGACTCGAGCCTTTTTTGATCAAACCGGGCACTAGACCGGTCCAATTGGATGGAGCGCGTGACAAAGCGGCATGAATACCGACGCCAAATCCACCCGACGCGTCATGACCTCCCCGCACTAGGTCATCGCCGCCAGCGCAGGGAGTGAGGGGCAATTGATGGAGGGTGATTTGGCCCGACCTCGCAACACGGGTACACGTGGGCGAGACCTTGCTCAAACAGTGCGTGACTGTGCAACTGACATGACCACAACTCGGGGGGAGGGTCCCATTGAGTTGAGCTTGGCAACTGGACGGATAAACTACTCGCCAGAAGTCGTCTTGCCTGTGCCTCCTCCCCGGGGTTACGACACTTCGAGATACCCTGAGGTCGGGGTACCCTGACCTTTCTCGATCCCCGAGCTCTTCCCGCTGGACTTCGGATCACTCACCAATCCACCTCTAGACACCCCGGGGTGAAAGCACCTCGGGCCAAGTAGCTCGACATAGCTTGCCACAGGCAACTCGCCGTTTATAAGATAGCCCGGCACAGGGTAACTCGCGAAGTGGTAGTTCGGCGCACTGCCGAAAGATCTCCTGCCCGACCACCGTACCTGACAAATCTGGGGACAGTAGCCATGTCCCTCGTCAGACAGCGTCGTGCCTGTCACCTTTAGAAGGCGTCTTACACTTGATAGGCACGTACCCTGCAACGACGGCCCCATGTGTGCCACCTCAGCCTTGCCTGTAGCGGCTGTGGCAGACTAACAGTGGCGGTTATACCTGCCCTGTCAGAAGCCAGAGGGCCTGAAGCAATGAAATTCTGTTAGAAGAAGCTGATTCTCAAGGAACAAGGTATCTTCGAACCACCTGTGCAATCTGCACTCTTAGCTTTCGTTTTCCTTTTGCTTATCACACAGAAAACTGACTTAATCATCGGAGTGTTCCCGCCGGGCGAGCCCCCCAAGAGTTATTCTTCTTCCTTCTTGTCTCAAGTACCTCTCAGGAGCCACGTGAGTACCAGTTAGGAGTGACCGGATCGTGCTACATCACATATAATGCATATTTATTAATTTATAATATATAAAAAAATATATAATATACATAAGTATATATAAAATATATAGAAATATATGTATATTGGTCAATTCATTTAACCACCGATTTTCTATATTGGTTAATTGAAACTGAACCAACCGGTTTGGTTAACTGAATTTTCGGTTTGATTTCGATCGGTTTTTTGGTTTGGTTCAGTTTTTTGGTTTTTCTTGCTCATCCATACCCTATAATTTGGGTCTAGTGCCGCTTTGGTCCCTAAACTTTAAAAATGAATAATCCCAAATCCTTGCTTCATCTATTCAAGAAAATTGGAATTACCAAAATACCCAATGAAACATGATCCCAACTTTCTTGAATAGAAGAGACAAGAATTTGAGACTATTCATTTTTTATCAATGTTTTAATGGTTGATAAAGAAAATTAAATAACACTTAAACAGCATTTGTGCATTTTCGAATGTCTCTTAACGGCTGGGTGACAGGCAGGTACTGGATTGGCATGTTTTGAAAATGCAAATACTGAATTATCACATCTTAAAATTCAGAAACCAAAGTGGCACTAAGCCCAAAATACATGATACTAATCGGGAATTTTCCCTTAAAAAACCATATGCCACCCATAGCCTGGCACAACCCAGCACGGCCTGCACTCAGGCCTTGGGCCGTGCTGAGCTCCCCTCTTGGGGGTTTCGTGCCGAGCAAGCACGACCTGCCAAAGCCCGTCTGCAAGCATGGCAAGGCCAACATTACACCACTAATTGCAAATAAGAAGAGAAACTGTAATTTTACGTCAGGTGAGTAGGCAAATCAGAGTCAGTAACACAAGGCGATATGAACTATATGCAAACTTAACGTCCAGTTTAGAGTTGCTCCTAAATTTGGCATCTGGTTTTGGTTTGCACCATAAATTCGGCAATCCTGTTTGAAAATTTGAATAGTTTCTTCATGAAAATCCCAGGTAGAATAGTTCCTTTTTAGCATATAATTCAAAGATACATCGGCATGAGGAATCACATAGAAAAGTATTTCACGATTCAGCTTGCAACTCTCTCTCTCTCTCTGTGAACTGAACTGAACTGAACTGATACTTAGACAAACTATCCTGGATAATGATGACGAACAAGAAAAGGCACTTCATTACAAATGTAATTAGTGTGAAGTTGGCCGCACATCTCTCTTGGGCTTCTTTAATGATTGGCAGAAGGCAGAGAAGCCTTCTTTTAAGTCATCAGGAAGGGGGAGAGTAAATGGAGGAAGAACATTAGGCGTCCCTCTGTTCCTCATTGATAATGAGTGTGCCAATGCTGGCTGCTGCTTATTAAGTCCTTCAATAATAAACGAAAATGCTCCAAAGGTGAGACAGCTTTGGAGAAGAGCCTGAGGTGCACCTGCCAACAGGAGCAGTTGAAGTAAATCTCAATACAAAATGCTGGCAATCATGGATGATGAAAACATAAATCCACCACTTGATGCTTTAGTGAATGCAACAAATGTCAAGGACATCATGCTTTCAGAAAATCTTAAATAGCATGTAGCATTTTCACAACTCAAATTGATGATTTGGGCCTACTGTGTTGCACGGATTCTCCTAAAGTAGGGCAGTTTGCACCTTCAAATCCCACAAATTCTTCAGCATTACTTCATCTCTTTCTTTATTTCCCTTGTTTTTTTATTTTCTTTTTGATCAGCATTTTCCCTTGCTTGTTTTACAATTTAAAAAATACATAATAAAAGTCCATCTTTCAACAATATAAAGTTATCACCATAACACAACAAAGGGCATGACCAGAATTTTCTACAGGTATGACAATGCCTGATTGATAATACATGCCATTGTTTAACAATGACTAACTATGCATACGTTTGTTGGTCGGTGAGCAGGGAATATCAACTCCTGTGTCTACACCCATGCATATGCAACGCTGAATATAATGCATGGTCATAAATACTAATCAATGCTTAGCAGGGGAATTCCAAGGAAACTGCTATGTCAGATAAAACACTGATTATTCAGGTTCCTTAAAAACCTGATATGCAGAAATATGCAATAGATAACATACTATATATGAAAATATGAAAACATGCAAGAACCTGGAAAACTTAGAGCAAGACCCGTGCAGCATCCAGCAACCCCTGCATTTATGACTACAGAAGAATAGCATGGTTTCATTAGAAAGAAGAAACGATGTAAATTGGACCAGTAATTCCATGGTTTGATGCCATACCATCATCTTTTCCTCTCAGCTTCTTTAAGAAGCAGACAACTAGACTGTGAACTCCAGATAAAACTGCAAATGTCTGATGAAAGTACAGAAGATAAAAACTTGAGCTCATAATAGCACATATCTAAAATAGGGAGAATAATAGAGTCTCTAACATCATCCCCTAAGCTAAAATTAAACACGATAATAGTGACTATTACCTTGGCAGAAGATCCAGCCTCTGCAAAAGATCCTTTAAAGCCTTTCCTTTTGAGCAACCCTGTACCTGAAATACATGTCCTATATAATGCATTTGCGAGTGCACAAAATTCTAATAGTAAACAATGTCTTCATGAACAAGGGAAGAGGTGACTGGTGGTGGAACATCTAAACTCAAGTAATAAGTGAAAATTTGATAATTTCTATATTGGCATACTAAGGAAGTTTTTTCCCATTACCCTTATTGATATTACATTTTTAGGTTGATTGCTTGTAGATGCCACAGGCCCACAGCATACAAAGAGTTTTATTAGTGTAAGGAGTTAAAAAAAGACCACCAATTTTCACTGTATAGACTGAACAGTGTAAAGCTGACTAAATAAAGAGAACTCAGGGCATTTATCAAAAAAAATAAAGAGAACTCAGGGGACAGAGAATGTTACAAGTTAGTCTTTCGCCATATTTTTGTTTGATTAGTGGTGCCACAGAAAACAAAAAGTTTTATAAATATGTAAGAGGAAATTAAAAAAACAGCCCATCAATTTTCACTGTATGAACTGAGCAACCTAAGGCTCACTCAACACAGAGAGCTCAAGGGACTGAGAATGTTATCAAGCTAGTCCCTGCCCTTGCAAGAGAGTCAGCAAGGCTATTAGCAGAAACTACATGAATTAGTAAGAATTCCTTTTTCTTTTTCAAAAATTATCCTTCTTTCAACTCTCCAAAGTGCATGAAATAGTTTGTAAGTGAGAGCTAAGCCTTAAAGAGCATAGTCTTATTTTCCTTCTGCAAGACAACCACTTAAAAATATGCTTTGAAAGACAAACACTTCCATGTTGAAACAACTCTCAAATTCTAGGTGTTAACTGTTAAGTTAAATCAATGAATATTTATAGAGGCCATCGTCATAAGTGCAAAAACAAATTCCACAAGAAGCAAAAGACTAGCCCAGAGTAGAAGAAAACCAATACATCTCACTTCTCAAAACCTGGCTCTAGCAAGCATCTCTGCCATCAAATTGGTTAACCTTCACAGCTATCTTAATAAGGTGCTCCTTATGGAATCCAAAGTTCTAGGTTCCTTAATGAAATGTATCCAGTTCCATGGACTACCAAAACCATCTAGCATCCATCCAATGACAAACTGGGAGTCTCACTCATTACCTGATAAGAACATCAACTTAAGGCCATAAGCAATACACACTCTTTTCTCTAATGGAGACACCATTGCAATCAGGCCACAGAACAGCAGGACAATCCCCCTATCCTGAACCTCTGAATGCACCACCAGCTCCTAATGGTTCTAAGGGTCCCTATCAAACACTTGTCAAATTTGAACATGTTTCAATTAATTAGTCAGTCATCTAGAATTCATTGGACTTAAGATTGTTCAATCTGAAATCCATACATTGTATGATTTGCATTGAGTTGAATCTCAAACAACATGGTACACCTCATATTGGGCAGCAATCAACCTGAGATGACTCAATAATCTAAGATTAATTCTTGACAAGGTATTTGGCATAAGCATTTCCAGCTTCACTTTACAAAGAAATTATAATCAGGACAAAAGTGTTAGTTTCACCCTAATGCATTCTTGAACTACTTCTTAGTAATAGGTCTACAATCATTTTCAGTTTTCCCCTCTTCACTGGGCACAGGAGATCACTTTCTTATTCGTGAGACTAGTGCAAATACAATCATTTGCATTTTTTAACATAATTTTCAGGATCTTACACGTTTTTTTTTAACAAAACAAAGAGCACTGCCCATCAACTCGGATGCACAACGCATATAAAAAGATTGATCCTGCAATCGCAATGTAACAACCATAAGTATTTGTTTCACATGCACTATGTAAAGTATATCCGAAAACCCAATTCAAGGAATTTGAACAAACCCATCAAAAAAGGAGGGGAAAAACCATTTTTAACTACGGCTCAGTTTGGAAGGAGTACAAATACAAATATGTAGAGTGCAAAACATTGTATTTTGTATGTATTTGCACTCTTTCCAAACTGAGCCCACGGGAATGGATCATTCTAAAGGACAGTACTCTAGAACGCAACAGACAACAAAGAAATAAAATAAGAGAGGACCAAATCCACCAAAAAAAGAAAAAGTATATTACATGGCTATTAATTTTTGTAAGAAGATAAGAGAAGATAGAACCAACCATAGCCGAATATTGAACCCATGAAAGCACCAGCTGCCGAGTCGCCGGCGAACCTCAGAAGGCAAACCAAAGGGGTCACAGAAGGAATTAGACCATCTGAAGGAATAGGGCTATCGTTATTGTCGATCTCAGTGTCAGTGTCGGGGTTCGGAGAAGCCGCGTTTGCCATATCCTCACTTCCTCAGTCCTCACCGTATTTTGCTCTCTCCCTGTAACGATGCAAAAATGGCCTCTGTCAACTCCATTTTCTTATTTTATCTCCTTCAGTAGTACACGTTTTACAGTAGATATATATGGGTCCATCTAAAGAAGGAAAATGGCCCACAATCCAATGGCTTGATAAGAGCCACGTGGCAAGCACGACTATTTGAAACCTGAAGGCGGAGGCTCATACAAGTGATCTCAATGGGTCAACCACTAGGATTGCTCCGTTCCTTGAGTATGTATAGACTCCTTTGCTGTGAGTGTGAATTGACGAAGATGTACAAAAACCCGTAGATATTTTAGAATCCGTCCAAGAGGGAGATTTCAAAACGATTACCGACAAAACCATGGCTGTCTTACGTTGGACAGTCTGGGCTGTCAATGGAGCTCTCCTTGCGTGTTGCGTGAATCAGGCCGTTGAATTTAGAAAGAAGACCATTTTTTTCCCTATTTACGGATTACCCCCAGGAAATTAAAACCCAACCCGTTAAAAAGAACCAACTTATAAGGATTGAATTGCAAATTGAATGAAAATAGCTTTCATAGAGTGAGAATTGAGATTGAATTGCAGATTTTCAAAGAATTCTAGCATACAATGACATCTTTGTTATAGTAAGTAGATCAGACACTAAAACACAAACATTCTTCTTCCACACCAAAGCAAATCAAGCCAACTGGTATCCATCACATGTAATCCGTCTAATTGCTCCAACCCAAGTAGGGTCAGAAGCAGGCTGAGTGGCAAAGTTGGGTTTGAACTGGAACTGTCTCGCAGAACTCATATATATTGATCCGAATTAATTAATAACGCTCTTGATATATTGATCCGAATTCAGCTCTCCATGCCTGATCATCGGGAAATGGAGTTGTCTTGCTGTCTGCTATATCAGAATCCTGTTGGTATAGTGGTTGCAAAGCAGATTCTGGCAACCGGCTCTCTGCAAGGTACTGTTTCATGGTGACCATCTCCATCTTGTGTTTTCTCTTCAATTTCTCCATGTGCTTCTTTAGTTTCTCATTCTCTTCCTGAACTCTCATAAAGTTCTCCTGCACAAGCGAGGAAAATGAAGTTCATCTCAAGTGTAAGCTTTGTCAATACCAAAATCATGACAGAAAGCCATTGGAAGAAAAACACTAAACTGTTTGTTTGCTTGTTTTTATAAGGAGTTTTATCCCCATCAGGTCATCCATGGCACATCATGCCTATATGGTGAACCTTAATCATATGAGCAACCATCCTGTGTTATGAAAAGTAGTTTTGTTTACTTACTTCTGCCACAGAGGCAGCTTCTTCTGTCTCCCTCAATCTCACAAGGAGTTCCCCAGCAGCATGAACAGCTTCTGCAGTGTCTCGAAGTTGAATTTTGAGACTCCTGTTCTCCTTTTTCAAGTATTCCCTTTCTTTCTCCTTCTCCATTCTCGCGGCTGAAAGTTCTGCAGCAAGTGACTTGGCAAAACGAGAACCACTACCCTTCTTGGTTCCTGCTTTTGCGGCTGCCCTCTTCACTTCAGCAATCCCTTCCATGACCATCCGATGCCTTCCAAGCAATTCGTTGTGCTTCTCTTGCAGCTCAGCATAGTGTTCAACAATTCTAGCATGGCCTAGGACAGCCCTTTGTAGTGCGTCATCCAACTCCTCCGTGCATTTTTTCTCTATCCTCAATTCCGCCTCTACCTTCTCAGCATGCCGACGTTTTGATTCAAGATCAATTCTAAGTTCATCGGTCAAAGATATCCACTCACTCTCCATCTCTGTCCACCTCTGTCTTTCCTTATCAATTTCTTCATCACTCTTGCCATGGGAATCTACATTTCTTGGTTGGCTTGATAGTAATAACAGAGAGGAACTTTGTCTCTCGATTGATTCGTTCAAGGAAGAATTTGTATATGACTGCAATTTCCTCTTTAAACTTTGAATTTCCATAAGAAGCTTTTCTCTCTCGTTTATGTCAAAGAACGCCTCTCTAAACTCATGATCAATCTCTTCCTTTAGCTCCGTTGGCTCACATTTCTCTGGGTTCTCTTGATTGTACCTCAGAAGCTGCAAATATCAACCGTCACAAACAGGAAAAAAAAGAAAAAAACAGGATATTCATATAAACTGAAGCGTATCCATGTTGTAGACAGGTTCCGGAAAAGATAGGGCAATCTCTATGATGCCAGAATGGTCCAGATTCCAGAACAACTTTGAAGGGGGCAGACTCAGTTGAATAGTAATGATAAAAAAGAGTGAAAGAATGCCCACCTTATTATTGTTTTCCAACAATTTCGGTTCATCATTTGTTAAGGCCTCAGGACAAATAGCACTGATAACCTGACCCTGTTCTGCGGTGGAACTGTGTTCTCTCTCGAGTTTGTATTGCTCAACCTGCGATATTTAGAATGTTACTTAAAGTACAAGAGCTTATATATAGGCATTCCATAGTCTAAAGTTCTCAAAATTAATCACCAGTCGATTTAGTTGCTCGATTTTTGCTGCTTGTTCTGCACAAAGATTTTCAAGATCTTTCTCTCTTACCGTGTCTGTTGATGAAACCATTTCGATGTCCTGATTAATAGAAAAGGAGTCAGATTAAAACAAAATAAACAACCAAAAGGAGGATTTTGAAAATCTAAAAAATGCTTATTAACTTCAGCATACTTTAGGCATTTCAGTTGTTGATTGATCAATCCCTGCTTTCTCTACTGGCATGATCCACATATTAAAGTTATCCTGGATTTTGCTTGAACCATTAAACTTTTTTTGTTTGCAAGAGGCACACAGGAAATAAACAGTGGGTCCATCAAGAGATGGTTGCACTTCTGGCAATGTCTGAACACCTGCATCAGCTTTGTCAACTTCTTGACTCGGTTTCAGCGCCAAGTGCTCAAAAGAGAAGGAAATCGATGACTTATTTGATGCCGAGTTCATTTGATGATGATTGATAATCTGCAAGCCCCTGTGAAGGCTGGCAGCCAAGGACTCAGTGGGTGAGAATATGTTGCTTGCCCGCAAGGATGAATAAACATGATCATTTCTTTTAAGTGACTGTCTCAAGACTTCCGGATTGAACTTGGGACTCTCTGATGTGTGGTTTTCAGATGCCAATAGATCTGACACTCTGCCCATGCTTTTCTTCTGGGTGTTTACAAATTTAGGAGACTCGGACAAGGTTGGATCCTGAAGGACTGCAGATCGTTGGCATGGTTTGATCAAAAGGCTATTTGCCAATGCAGGGTTAGCCATATTTGCAGTATCTGACAGAGCAGGAGGATTCTCCAAAGATCCACAATTGTCCTTGTGGGACTGTTCTGTCCCAGATTGCCTGATGGTAGTTTTTGCAATGTTGCATTCTTCAGTGGAGGGGCTTGTATCAAGTTCACTGGCAATATCTACCTCAGAACTTCCTTTACAGGAAGACAACTGGATCTGAATTTTCTCCTCAGGTGGTTCTGTTGAGTTATCTTTGCAGGAATCATGCAGGTTTTCTAGCTGAACACGCAGTTCTGTTATATCCTCCTCATCAACATTTATTTCTTCAGAATCGGAGTCATTGTCTATGCGAGGTAAGATTAGAGAGCGGTTAAGACTTAACCTCAGCTGGTTTAAGTTTTCACGAGCATTTCTCCCCTTAAAGTATCCGCTTTGATTACCAATTGAGTTGTGCACGCTTGACTTTGCTCTTACAAGTTCTTCCTGCAGTCCATGAAATAAACAAATTTGATGGTTTTGGATTAGAACAAACATAGATCAGATAATTTAGGTATCACCCCAGTAGAGAAAGTAAACCTTTAGCTGACGAATCTGGTCACTAAGATCATTTACATCATCCTCTCTTATTTCATTTATCACTGGCACATTCTGTATGCATTTTGCTCGTTGTCCAAACCTTAGTGTGCTTAGTGTTTCACCTTTGCATCTGCATTTTACAAGGACAGGACATTGTTTTAGGCATATATTGCGCAAAGTTTAGCCGTGTGATAGACTACGAAGATGGTTCTACAATTGCATGACAAAAGCCATAGGATGGCATGGATGGGAAAAGAGAGGTAGATGCTGGGATCAAAATGTTTACAAGAAACATGCCTATGATCTTTCCTACCTTGAATGGCATGGATCCTACGCTTAATTCTTGACAAATGGAATTTAGTTAATAACGGCAGCAGTGATAATCGATCCAGTCAAAGGGAGTCAAATTGGGAAGATTATGTGCTTCGAGGAAAAACTGGACCAATTTTTGTAAGACTTTAGGAGCACAGGATGACATGGACGGGGTAAGTGATGTGATGGAAAATAATTTAGAATTTGTTTATTTTAACAGAACACATATACCTAATTAGAATGAAGTAAACAAACATGACTCATATTAGCAATCACAAATTGTTAAGATCATCCAATTGGGTCAACCAATTTGAAGCACCTTCTCCTACACCCAATGAGCATAGAGGTAATGAATTCCTGTCAGCAGAATATAAATGTGTTAACCATGAAGTTCTGAATTACCTGACATCTGGCGAAATGGCACAGATAACTGTGAGTTTGGCATTGCCTCCAAGTGATTCCTGCAGTAAATGTGTTAAACATGAAGATCTGTACGGAATATCCTTCTTCCCAGATTCAGCACCCTCTGCAAGAATATTCACCAAGTGCCTGCAGATGTCGCAGAAAAGGGGGTTATTGGGCTATTCTGAAAAAGAAATAATCAAATACAACCAAGTCTGTTTACTTTGAGAATATAAGAAAGAAGGATCCAACTACTAAGGCTCAGTTTGGAAGGAGTACAAATGCAAATTTGTAGAATGTAAAACCTTGTATTTTGTATTATTTTGTATGTATTTACACTCTACAAATTTGTATTTGTACTCCTTCCAAACTGAGCCTTAATGAAAATTAAAGAGTGCAAATTTTGCATGTGAAGTATTATTTGTCATAAGGCTAAAGGTTAAGGAGTGATATAGCAAGGGACTATAAAATGCAAAACATGGATTCTAAAATCCAAACTTGAAAAGGCCGGATTATCAAGATTCTTATCTTTATTGCCAAAATCTACAGCCTTAAATCACAAAGTTAGGCTGTAGACAGATTGTAGAATCGAACCTGCATGTCTTGGATCTGGTACTTTAATTTTTCAAGGCTACCATAGCATATTATAAAGGAAAAGGGAAATGAATTATGTCATAGAGTTTCTCTTCATTATCAATTCAAAGTAGCTAAGCAATCGCATTAACCCAAGATGCATGCTGTCCTAAATTAGTCTGATATTCAATAATCTGACTAGTTCAATTTTGGAGCAGGAGATCTTCTACCCGATCCCCATTCTCTGGGTGGCCATTGATCCACCTAATCTCAAAAAAATATCAAAATATTTTGGACAATGAGAACAAGTAATAGACTGAGCATAATTGTGGTCATGGAATCATACCCCAACTGTGAAAGAGACTTCTTCACATTTTTGTCTTCCTTCATACACTGTCTACCAGCATCTTCAGGTGCTTTTCTTTCCGAACCAGCAAGATCAATTAGACTAATTCTGCTTGTTTTTGAACTGCTAAAGCACTTTGATGAGGTGCTCTGGAAATTTTGAAATTGTTTTGTTTCCATTAGTATAAACAAGAATACCAGTACAAGCATACACGCATACAATAGTTTATCACAATAAGTGATCCAACATAGGGTATCTAATCATAGGAAGACTAATGAAAGCAACAACTAACGGATCTGTATACACGTATACCTTGCACCAAGATTCGATGATGCAAGTAAAAATGATATGAGATCGAGAGCTTTTGGAATTTATGCTTGTTGCACCAACTTTTCGATTTGAAAGCCCCTGCATCGTAATATTAAACAAAATTAACAGTTGAAATAGTGCAGTGAATGGAACCGGAAGAAATATACAACTGAAAGTTTCAGTGTAAGAGGCGGCACTTTGAGACGCAAGGCAAGGGGGAAAATAGAAAAATTATTATACATAAATGTATCTTATCTAAAGTTCAGTCACCATTTCCGGATTCTCACTTAACACAAGGGCAATGATGCCAGTAAAGATAAGTGCATGTCGTCTGTGCCCTACCTTGATCAGAATTTGTGCTACGTCCTCATAGCTAGTCATATATTCCTCGTAGAGATTCTCAACATAGAAACCATTCTTGGCATCATCCCTTATCTGGTCCAAATGGGGCAAAAACAACGATACCATAGTAAAAAACATAAATAAATAAAACAAAGAAAATCAGAACAAAATCAAATCAAGACTAAAATGTACAAGTTAAAAAACTCTCTACCTCAAGGTTCCGCCGCGTTGGATCAAGTAAATCATTGATCTGTTCATTGTATATCTACATCCAGAAATAAGTTATATGTAAACGGTGAAGTATCAATTGAATAACCAGTTACTTGACCTGAACTGTATGCGTTAACAATCATAGAACAGTACCTCCAGAAAAGAACAACGACATTGGTAATTTATCTGTTTCCCATCAGAGTTCTCGTGTTGCTGAATGGCAAATAGAAGAAATGAAAATGAACCCATTCTGGGAATTTAAATAAAGAACAGAAGAAAATAAATGAAATGAAGTTAAAAGCATACTCTGTCAATCTCAGAAAACAGCATCTGGAAGATCCGGGGGACAATTCCTTGGTTGCGACTGGAGGAGTGCCCCTCAACCATGGAACTTGGCGGACCCCACATTGTGTAAGTTTTTCCGCTTCCAGTCTAGTGATAGAATTCAGCAAAGTTGCATCAACATGAATGGGACTCATACGGAAGAAATAAATAAGAAAATATGGGGAAGTAAAAGCAAAGAGAGAAAACACATTAATACCTGTCCATATGAAAGAATCGACGTATTGAAACCCGCCAATGAATTTTTTACCAAAGGTACACCGATTAACTGAAAAACATCTTCCTGAGAAAAGCAATATAACAAACAACTGAGCTATGAAAACTTTCCCAAATCCAAATACAACTGAAAGACTATAAAATGATACTCAAATGCATACGGAGATTTGAGTCCTCCTACCTGAGAAGAACCCGAATCAACAATTGAGTCAAAGGTAAAAGATCGGTCCCCAACGGTTAATGCTTTAGAAGAAATTTTCTGGACAGCCCAATCTTCCCGTCTCCCTTGACCATTGAATGGTTTAATCCTCACCACAATCTACCAATGATTTCACAAGAATAAAAAAAAAAAAATCAAATCTAACTTCGAAGTAAATAAATAAATAAAACAAGAGCGCGAGATTGCAAAAGAAGCAAAATTTGAAGATTATAAGTTATTTGGAGGGGAAAAAACGAAATTCGAAGTACCTTAACCGACGGATCAGAAGGAACACAAGTTACTTCTTGATCTACGGATGTTGTGCTCTGTTTCTGGAAATTCACTGGTTTTTCCGGTGATCTTTTAGCAATCGAAGGAGAGGCAGTGCCATTATGGATTTGAATGTTGGGATCGGGCGGAGGGGTGTTTTCTCTGTCGGATCTGGATTTGAAATAAGTAGAGTTAGTCTTCTGCTTGTTAGAGACGGATCTTGGAAGAAGACTACGCATCGCTTGGGTAGAAATGCCTCCAAAAAATCGATTTTCTGAGACGTCCATGCTTCGTTTCATGATAGTTTCGAGATCTGATCGAGAAAAGAGTTCTGATAGAGCGGAGTGGTAAGGAGTAGAGTGAGAGAGAGAGAGAGGTCTTTCAAGAGAGAGAAAAAGAGACGCTCCAATTTAAATGTGTCGAGAGAGAGGGAAACGTTTGTTTGTGAACCGTTGAAAGAAATGTTTGAATTTACGTCAGATGACAAAAATACCCTTCTAAACATACTCTGATTTTTCAGAAATCGATTCAAACATGCCCTGAAATTTTAAAAATAAATATATCTTGTGACCACAAGTGTGAACTCACCCTAGACTCTCAGCAGGTGACGCTAGGTGATCTTAAATTTTTGGAAATTACAGTTATACCCTTTAAAACGGTAGGTGATCTCTGTGTTTGGTTATGTTTACTTTTTTTCATTTCATGTTTGTACTTTACTTTATTGCAAGATCGATAAAGGTAATAATTACAATTGCTTATGACAATTAGTGGCGTTTGGTTCTGTTTACTTTTTTCATTAACGTTATATTTTATTTGATTGTAAAACAGAGAAAGGTATTAATTAATTTATTTATGATAACTAGATGCCATTATGTGCCACATCAGCAAAACAGTGAAAAAATGCCTAATTGTTTGTGAAAGCTTTAAAAAATAACTTTCCTAAATGGTAGGTGTGCATAGAAACCGTAGTCCACTTTTGCTATTTTCGATGAGTACTAAAAAGTAATGAGAAGAACTAATGAAGTGGCGCCTATGTGACAACGTTTATTAAATAAAGAGAATTTGTCTAAAACTCATAATGAATTTTTAACATTTTTCTTAAACTCACCACAACTTTTCAAATTGTTTTGTGTACAATTTCTATAATTTTTTTTATATTTGAAAATATTTTTTGAACTTTATCTTTATTTTCATGTTTAAATATTAAAATACATATATATATATTGTATTTTTCTATGAAGGTTAAAATGGTAATATATTAATAACTATTAGTCTCTTTATCGCCAAGTTAGTGACATGGTGAGTTTTAAATATTTTAAAAAATTGTGGTGACTAGTGAGTAGAGAAATGCTGAAAATTCATGATGAATTTTTGATAATTTCCCTTAAATAAATGCCCACGAAACCAAACACCCTGTTTATCTGCCTAGTTCTTCTGGTGGAAGTATGTGACACTCCCTAATCCCTGCTTAAGATAACCTGCAACGCCTAATACTATGCCAACACTACAATGCGATTGCCTTGTTCTTTCAGATTGGGCCTTGGCCCCCTAAGGTGGGCCAGGATCCTCTCCATTAATTCTTCCTGTAACCGATTGAATAAGGATCATAAATCCATCATTTCTCACTTCTTGCTTTATTCTTTTCAGAATAACAGAGTAGGAAGGAAGAAACACTAGCAACCTTGGGATTGAGAAGAGAGAAGGAAGAGCATGGAAACCTGGAACTCTTTTTTTGATTGTCTCACCACATTGAACGCTGATTAGCATGGTCGTTGTTCGCTCTACTCTTGCCACCGACCATCACAATTTCAATTGCAATTAATTTTTCTAAAATAGATGGAAAAAAATGAATTCCCACACTAAAGTTAGACTCCCTGTTTGTTTGGTTCATAGTTAGAATCAAAATCAGAATTGGAATCAAAATCTTTTAAAATTGGAGTCAGAATAGTCTATTCACATAGTTTGTTTGATTCAAACAGGAATGAAAATAGGAATTGGAATTAGTAGGAATGAGATTTCATTCCCAAGGGAGGGGCAGGGAATGGCCATTCCCTCAAATAGGAGAATGCCATTCCAGCAGGAATGGGATTGAGAGTCCGATTATGCCCAACCAAAATGGTAGAATCGGAATTGCCCATTCCAATTCCTATTCCAAACTCCTATTCCTACGAATCAAACGGGCATCAGTTAATAGTGGGTTGCATTTGACTACTTTTGATATGTCATGGTTTAATTGGAACCGATGGAAAAATTCCTCGGGCTTCAAACGTAGGCGATCCTGAGTGGATAACTCCATGTCTTTCTGAATGTATTAATTCATGAGTTGAACCCAAGAAAGTTTCAATTATTCTTTTTTTTTTATGTTGTTCTTTTGAAAATTTGAAGAACAATGAAGGGTAAAAGAGTCTTTAATGGCCATAGGGTATATTTAAGCCGTGTAAGAAACTTTAGGGTATGTTTAAGTCCTTTACCCTACTAGTAAACACATACGTGTATTTGCACGTGATAGTATCTCTAAGACAAAACTATTTATAATTCACGGACAATTATAAGTGGGCGGTTTCTAAAATGAGAGTAAAGGACATATATACCCTCTTTATGTCCATTGTATGTTTAGACAAGGGTGATAAAAAATGTCCAATGAAAATTCCAGAAAGAAGGGGCATTCACTCTTTTATAGGTAGTATAGATATACATTGGGTTAATTACATATTCATATAAGTCATGGAGAAAGTTAATTCACTAATGCTATGTTTAGCGAATAGGTGGTTTGAGAAATAACACTTATTTGAAAAAGTACTTATTAGGGATCGCTAGAGAAGACCACATTATTGCCAGAAAAGAGGGATTTAAACCACTGTCATTGTAATCCCTTTTTTAGTTATTCAATCAATTAAAAACAAGGCTTAGACTGCCCTTGTTACTAGAGAAGACAAGTAGTTCCTGTTATTGTCAGGGAAGACAATCAAGGTAAAATGGTCTAAAAAATATTAAAAATGGTAGTTTTGGCTTTTTCAAAAAATTTAAGTGGCATATATCATCATGTGATACAAATAACTTACGAATTGCTAAAAGCAGATACTAAATTGGAAGTTTTTGGGAGTTCAGGTATTGCAAATGGCATGTTTTGAAGTTCAGGTACTAAAACAAGACTAGCTCCAAAATACAAGGTACTAATTTACAATTTACCCTTTTGTAAGTTGAAGAATAGAAAAAATCCTTTTAATACTTAGAGACACAAGGGGTGTCAACTGGATTGGATTTAGTCCAATCCGATCTAGCCCAATGTGAGTCCATTACAAATGGACCAGGTCCAATCCAATCCAATGAACATTTTGGACCGGTCCAATTCAATGTCCGAACCATTTAATCTTTTCAAATTTGTTTTAATTTAGATTAATTCTGACCCAAGCTTTGTCCATTGACACCTATTTTCTTATCTTCTATCAATGGACTGGATATTGTCTAAATCCAACCCAATCCAACATTCCAGATGGACCAGGTCCAATCCAATCCAATCCAATCCAATAAATACTTTGGACCATAAAGTCTGGACTGGTTCAATTTAATATGTCTTGTTGGTTCGTCTAATCCGTGTAAATTGATTTTAGTCCGGATGGGATTAATCCAAAACCGGTCCATTTACACCCTTAGAGACACACAAACAAAATATATATAATATATTAATTTTACAATTTGCATGAGAAAAGGAGAGAGTTTTCATTAACATACCATAGAGAGGACAACAAGAAATGCTTGCCAGGTTGTGTGTGGCTAAGAGTATGTAGATGATCACCAATGCAGAACTTTGACCAAGCAAGAGTAACGTTAAGCTTCCAATTCTACAGAGTAGGTAGGAATGGGTGGTCTAGCTTTGCTCCCTCTCTACCTTCTTCAATGTAAGCGCTTTTTTATCCACCACCTTCATGATGTAATGGTAGCTATCCTTGTCGGCACCGGAGGTCCTATCCCAATCTAACAAATGAGCTTTAAATCCCTAAGGCTTAGTTTGGGAAGAGTGCAGCTATAAATATGTAACAGTGAAAATACAAGGTTTAATTAAAAATACTATATATATATATAAGGTTTTGCATTGAATATTTTTGTATTTGCACTCTTCCTAAACTAAGCCTAGGCTCGATTTGTGAAGAGTGCAAATACAAGGTTTAGAAATACCATATACAAGGTTTTGTACTGTATATATTTGTATTTGCACTCTTCCCAAATTGAGTCTAAGGTTGCGTTTGGAAACGATGCAAATAGAGTATAAATCCCGGTTCAGGGTAAATTTGCACTCCAATTCACTTTTGCCAGTGTTTGGCAACATTACATTTATACATTGACAAATAATAGACTAATGCATATTCATATTGATAATAAGATGTAAAAGTACATAAAAAAAGAAGTAAATTTGCATTCAAGTGGGTTTTTGATAAAAAAAAGCATATACTTTATTGGAATTCATATTTGCATCAATTACAGCTAAAAATCTGTTTGGTAAGAAGATAAATTTATTAGTGCAAAATTAACCCAATTTTACATTTTATATGAACCGTTTTACACTACTTATTTGCACCGTTTCCAAACGCAGCCTAAACATCAAGCCATTTTGTGGCGGAAAATGATGGTAGGTGCAAACATCAGTAACAAGGAAGGCAAAAGAAAGACTCAACAAGTAAAATAAATATTTTTTTTTCATTTCTAATTAACTTTTTTGAGTTTCATAAATGGGATGTAAGTTGAAGCAAACCTGACAGGTTACACGTTGAGGCCAACCGACAACAAGGTTCAAAGTATCAAAGCTTTTGAGATGCCAACAATGTATATCAAGGGCTTTATTTGATACATGTGGGTAAGATTCAAAACATCGACACGATAGGTCAGATACAAGCATATATTCTCGATGCATAGAAGGATGGGCATATGACACCAGTGGATTGGGCATATTTACGTATGCCAATATTGTCTTAACTATATTACAATTAAGAATGGCAATGGGGCAGGTTTGGGGTGGGGCACCCTTTCCCATCCTCACCCCATGACAAAATCCCCTATCCCGTCCTCACTCCATCCCCAATGGTGGGGTAGGTTCAGGGTAGGGCATCCATTCTCCATCGGGACGAGAATCCTTACATTTTTCTCACCTTGAGGGAATCACTTAAAAATACATCAAAATTAAGGGACATTTTGGAGATGGGATCATGGGAATTTAGGGTATTTTAGAAATGAGATTATGAAATCCTACAGTTTTGGGAATTTGAGAAAAACATGGGGAGATTTTAGAAGTTAATAATAAATCTAGAGGTATTTTAATAATTTACTAACAGGTTTGAGGTGGGTTCGGGAATTATATACCAACCCATCCCTTCCTTATCCCCGATTCGGGGAAAA